CACCCCCAACCCCGCCCGCCGCCCCCCGCACCTTGGTCTCCTCCAGCTGCACGATGGTGGCCTGGCAGTCGGAGATGCTGTCGTTGACGTAGTCGATGTTGGCCGCCAGCGCCTCCATCTCCTCCGCCAGCTCCTGCAGCCCCTTCTCCTCGGGGCTCTCCGCCTGCAGCCGCTCCCGCTTCCGCCGCAGCGCCTCCTGCAGGAGGAACAGCTCCTCCCTTTTCTGGGGGGGGGGTCGGGGAAGGCCTCAGGGTGCTGTCCAGCCCTGCCCACAGCTGCCCCCCCGGCCCCCACGTAGCCTCATGGGGACCCCCAGCACTTCTGCATTCGAGAGCTGCCATGAGGATCAGGGGACGGGGGACGAGAAAGGTCGGAAGAGCCTGCCTGAGCCGTCAAAAGTGACAGCGGACAGCCCGGCTACCCAGGGAGACACCCTGGAGGGCCCCCCGTAACTCCCAGATGTCACCTGTGCCTGGCTCAGACCTGGGGTGCACCCCCGAGCCCCCTGACTTTCCCCACACAGGACCTCAGAATGTGACTGTCTTTCATGAATCATTAGGTTAAATGGGGCCTTTTGGGGGCTCCATCCCTAGTAGGGGGGCGTGCAGGAGGCAGCCGGTCCATGCTTCTCTCTCAGCATGGATGTTTCTCTCTCCCTCTCCCTTCCTCTCTGACGTTAATAAAAATATATTTAAAAAAAGAAGAAGAGGGACAGGTGAGGAGTCGGGGGTGGGGTGGGGGGGCAGGCTCCCCCTGTCCAGAGCTGGACTGCATGCTCCCCACGGGGTGCCTGTCCCCGAAGGCCACAGCCCGGGACCCTGCTGTCCCAGCATAAACCCTGCTGGGTGGAAGGTGGCCCGTCCGTCCGTCCGTCCGTCTGCGCGGCCCCACCCAGCACACGCACACACACTTGCCCTCCGCCTCCAGCGGACTCAAGCCCAGCCCTGCTCCGGACGGGCCTGGGCCGGTGCGTAGGGTCCCCTTTAAGGGAGGCCCGGCACTCAGTAAAAAATATATATATATTTTAAAGTGACAGCAGATGGCAGAGGGTTGCAGATGGGAGGGTTGCAGAGAGAGGGAGGGGTGCAGGCGTGAGGGAGGGGTGCAGATGGGAGGGAGGGTTGCAGAGGGAGGGAGGGGTGCAGAGGTAGGAGGGGTGAAGGCAGGAGGGAGGGGTGCAGAGGTAGGAGGGGTGCAGAGGTAGGAGAGGTGCAGAAGGAGGGAGGGGTGCAGGCAGGAGGGAGGGGTGCAGGCGGGAGAGAGGGGTGCCTCGGGAGGGACAGCGCCCACCTTGATGAGCCGCTCCATGTCGGCCTCCAGGTTGACGAGGGTCATCCTCTGCATGACGATGTCAATGACCCTGCGCTCCAGCGACTGCCACTTGAGCCGCGCGGCCTTGCTGAAGCTCTGGCCGGCCCCCTTCTTCTGGAACTTCTTCCTGGAGACAGAGGCCAGTGGGGTGGGGTGGGCCCACGCCGGGA